GCCCTGTGCCTATACCACCAGGGTCCTGGGTTTCAGGCACTAAACTAGGTGGCTGTTCTGGCAGACACTGAGCTAGCTGCAGGAGGTTTTTTTTTTGTACCCCAGTGGTGCCTGGAACCCCAGCAAGACAGAACTGTTCACTAACCTGTAAAGGGGGCTGAAACCAGGGAGCCAAGTAGTCTTGTTCAGCAGGTCCCACCTTTATGGAGCCCAGCAAGCCAAGAACTACTGTCTTGAAATTCTTGCTGAAGACAGCCTGGCAGGATCAAGCTTGGTGCAAGGAGGGGCTTCCACCCTTACTGAGGCTCCAGTAGGCAGTTTTCCCTTTACAGTCTTAAGGAAGCCAAATTCAAAGCAAAGCAGCTGTGGCCAGCCTGCCTCTCTAGATTCCTCCTCACTGGGCAGGGAATCTCTGAAAGAAAGGCAGCAGCCCTAGTCAGGGACTTATAGATAAAACTCCCATCTCCTTGGGACAGAGCACCTGGGGGAAAGGTAGCTGTTGATGCAGCTTCAGCAGACTTAAACTTTCCTGCCTGCCAGTTCTGAAGAGAGCAGCGGATCTCTCAGCACAGTGCTCAAGCTCTGCTAAGTGGAAGACTGCCTCCTCAAGTGGGTCACTGACCCCCATGCCTCCTGACTGGGAGACGCCTCCCAGCAGGGGTCAACAGACACCTCACACAGGAAAGTTCTGGCTGGCATCAGACAGGTACCCCTCTGGGATGAAGCTACCAGAGGAAGGAACAGGCAGCAATCTTTGCCATACTGGAGCTTTCACTGGTTATACCCAGGCTGCAGGGTCTGGTTATAACCCCTGTAGGGTCTGGAGTGGACCTCCAGCAAACTCCAGCAGACCTGCAGAAGAGGGGCCTGACTGTTAGAAGGAAAACTAACAAACAAAAAGCAATAACATCAATATCAACTAAAAGGACACCCACTGAAAAACACCATCCAAAAGCCATCAGCATCAAAGATCAAAGGTAGATAAATCCACAAAGATGAGGGAAAACCAGAGCAAAAATGCTGAAAATTCCAAAAACCAGAATGTCTCTTCTCCTCCAAATGATCGCAACTCCTTTCCAATAAGGGCACAAAACTGTATGAAGAATGAGTTTGATGAGTTGACAGAAGTAGGCTTCAAAAGATGGGTAATAACAAACCCCTCTGAGCTAAAGGAGCATGTTCTAACCCAATACAAGGAATCTAAGAACTTTGAAAAAAGGTTACAGGAACTGCTAACTAGAATATCCAGTTTAGAAAAGAACATAAATGACCTGATGGAGCTGAAAAACACAGCATGAGAACTTCGTGAAGCATACACCAAGTATCAATAGCTGAATTGATCGAGTGGAAGAAAAGATATCAGAGATTGAAGATCAACTGAATGAACAAAGCATAAAGACAAAATTAGAGAAAAAAGAATGAAAAGGAATGAATAAAACCTCCAAGAAATATGGGACCATGTGGAAAGACCAAACCTATGATTGATTGGTGTACCTCAAAGTGACGGAGAGAATGGAACCAAATTGGAAAAACACTTCAGGATACTATCCAGAAGAACTTCCCCAACCTAGTAAGACAGGCCAACATGCAAATTCAGGAAATACAGAGAACACCACAAAGATACTCCATGAGAAGAGCAAGACCAAGACACACAGTTGTCTGATTCTCCAAGGTTGAAATGAAGGAAAAATTGTTAAGGGCAGCCAGAGAGAAAGGTCAGGTTACCTACAAAGGGAAGTCCATCAGACTAACAGCGGATCTCTTGGCAGAAACCCGACAAGGGTTCTGTTCATTGGTTCTGTTTATGTGATGGATTATGTTTATTGATTTGCATATGTTGAACCAGCCTTGCATCTCAGGGATGAAGCTGACTTGATCGTGGTGGATAAGCTTTTTATGTGCTGCCTGCTTTTGTTTGCTAGTATTTTACTGAGGATTTTCACATCGATGTTCATCAGGGATATTGGCCTGAAATCTTTTTTTGTTGTGTCTCTGCCGAGTTTTGGTATCAGGACGATGCTGGCCTCATAAAATGTGTTAGGGAGGAGTCCCCATGTTTCTATTGTTTAGAATAGTTTCAGAAGGAATGTTACCAGCTCCTCTTGGGTACCTCTGGTAGAATTTGGTTGTGAATCCGTCTGGTTCTGGGCTTTTTTTGTTTGTTTGTTTGGTTGGTAGGCTATTAATTACTGCCTAAATTTCAGAAGTTATTTGTCTCTTCAGAGATTCGACTTCTTCGTGATTTAGTCTTGGGATGGTGTATGTGTCCACGAATTTATCCATTTCTTCTAGGTTTTCTAGTTTATTTGCATAGAGGTGTTTATAGTATTCTCTGATGGTAGTTTATATTTCTGTGGGATCAGTGGTGATATCCCCTTTATCATTTTTTATTGCATCTATTTGATTCTTCTCTCTTTTCTTCTTTAATAGTCTGGCTAGTGTTCTATCTATTTTCTTATTCTTTTCAAAAAACTGGCTCTTGAATTCATTGATTTTTTTTGAAGGGTTTTTCATGTCTCTATCTCCTTCAGTTCTGCTCTGATCTTAGTTATTTCTTGTCTTCTGCTCACTTTTGAATTTGTTTGTTCTTACTTCTCTTGTTCTTTTAACTGTGATGTTAGGGTATTGATTTTAGATCTTCCCTGATTTCTGATGTGGGCATTTAGTGCTATAAATTTCCCTTTTAAAACTGCTTTAGCTGTGTCCCAGAGATTCTGGTATGTTGTTCCTTTGTTGACACTGGTTTCAAAGAACTTATTTGTTTCTGCCTTAATTTCATTATTTACACAGTAGTCATCCAGGAGCAGGTGTTCAGTTTTCATGTAGTTTTGTGGTTTTGAGTGAGTTTCTTAATCCTGAGTTCTAATTTGATTGCACTGTGATCTGAGAAACTATTATGATTTCTGTTCTTTTCATTTGCTGAAGAGCATTTTACTTCCAATTATGTGGTTGGTTTTAGAATAGGTGTGATGTGGTGCTGAGAAGGGTGTACCCTTCCCAAATCTTGCAATTATATCTGAAATTTAATGATGTATTTAATTACATTATAAATCCACTATCATAATAACGTCTTGCTTAAAACCAAGAAGATGGGTTTTAAAACCACCATGGCACATATATACCTATATAACAAGCCTGCAAGTTCTACATATGTATCCCGGAACTTAAAGTATAATAATACATTTTAAAAATCAGACTATTGAGGAGGAAAAAAATGTGAGTTTTGTGAGTGTCCACAGAAATGTGCAATCCCATCATCATAAGATTATGCCAGAGTGCAGGGGGTCATGAGCAAAGAGAGGCCAAGAGGTTTCTGGGAGTAAAGATCCTTCCCATGGAGGGTCTTTTCTGGACCTACCACTAGAGGTCAGGAAAAACTAACCTACATAGGCAGACAAGCCTTGAAGGCCAACATTGTAGATGAGTCTGTTTAGTAGTGGTTTAAAAATCATGTATTGAGGTGCTATGTAGGAAAATTTCTGACATTCTGAATAATTAAAATTGTGAACAGCAAAAGAAATGAATACCTTCATTTATCTTCACTTTATTAATAATATAAACATGGAAGAAATACAATTTATGTACTTAAGAATAAAGATCTGTTTAAAATTGGCACCAATAAAAAAATAAAAGCTTGAAAAGTGGGAAAAGGTCACACTAATTACACTCAGAAGCTGGGTTTCAATATATTGATTAAGCCAAAAATATATTGAAGGCAATTTAAAAATAGTGAGCAAGTTTTTGAGAATGAAATTTCTATCTACTTCTAAAGTCTTACTATTTAAAAATATATTCAATCATAATTTCTCCAAAAATCAGTGAATTATGGTTTTGGCTAAAGACAATATCTTACTTCTTTAAATCCTTCCCAAATCTTGCAATTATATCTGAAATTTAATGATGTATTTAATTACATTATAAATCCACTATCATAATTGCTTACCTATTATGTGTTATTATGCTAGATGCTGGGTTAATAGAAATAGAATTCAGACATGATTCTTCAGTATCAATTATCTCAGCATTTAATGGAAGTGAGAGTCATATACACAATAGACTATAGTAATATATAAATTGCAATTATTTTTCACAATAAATCTATAAAGTTTTATTCAACCAAAAAAGGCTACTTTGAGTTAATATTGTCCCCATACTACTCTTTGAAAAATCAAAATATTTTATTCTCTTATCTCCCATAAATACAGTAGCAAAATGACCTTTAGTCCTGAGACATAAGACAGCTACTATTTGATGGACTATAAGATGTCAGGTGTGAATATTGTACTAGAATATTTGAGTGAAGTAATTGTAGAAAAATCCTCTGGGCAGGAAAAGAACAAGAGGGAAACAGTAAATGCCTAGAGAAAATGGAAGAAAGAAGATAAATCCTATGGGGAACATAATAAAAATAAAGAGGAAATAAACTTCATATACACTACCCAGGTTTGCCTAAATCCATTTTTTGTTTTCAAGGAATATAATTTGAATCATCAGTCAACTGAAACTAATTTTTATTTCAGATGTTTTAAAATTATTGGTAAAAATTTTCTGGCTGGGCACAGTGGTTCATGAATGTAATCCCAGCACTTTGGGAGGCAGACGTGGTGGATCACTTGAGGTCAGGAGGTTGAGACCAGCCTGGCCAACATGGCGAAACCCCAGCACTACTAAAAATACAAAATTTAGCCAGGCATGGTGGCAAGTGCCTGTAGTCCCAGCTACTTGGGGAGCTGAGGCAGGAGAAAGGCTTGAAGCAGAGGAGGAGGTTACAGTGAGCAGAGATCACGCCACTGCACTGCAGCCCTGGTGACAGAATGACACCTGGTTTCAAAAAAAAAGAAAAAAAGAAAAAGAAATCATGTTATATTCTTCCAAAATTTGTAGAAATTTAAAATTATTTGTTATTTCTAAATATCAACTTTTTGTAAAATGCTTATTACTATATGTAGACAGTGACACTTAAAAATATTACTCATCCAAGTTAAAAACAATCTACTTACAATTCTCTGACATTTTTGAAGAGAAATATTCCAAAAGACTTAAAATACTTGCTTCCTTTAATTCTGGAGGGACTGATTTGTCCAAGCGTAAAATATTTTTTCGTGAACTTTTACATTGACAGAAACCAATTAGAGCAGTTTTTCGCAAATCAGAAGTGGCTGCATACAAGCAGATTTCTGCAAGAATTACTGTATATATGTAGACTACATTCCAGGCCCAGGAAAAATCATCTACCTTGTAACTTTCTCCCTGAAATAAAATAGATATCCGATCATCAAAGTATGTCTTTGCATATCAATAACTATATAGTGTACTTATAATAATTGTTAAAAGACCATAATAAACTAATATTTCTAAATGTGTTCATTAAAAAATGGGTTTACCATGAGTAGATTGCATAAAATATGGTTCAAAGAATAAAAAATACAGACAGCTAATAATTATATAAAGAACAACTTCACAATTTAATTAGCAATCAATGGAATGTAAATTAATTCAATGAGATACTATTTTCCATATCATATTCAAAAGGAACCTTTTGATGTACAGCTCAATTCTAATGTGTGACACTTTCATTTATTGTTCATAGGAATGCAAGAAAGTTATTAATATATCTTATGGAGAAAAGTTTGGACATCTTGCCCAAAAACTTTGAAAGAAACTTCACAGTCTTTCACTTGGTAATTTAATTTTATTAGCCTACTGTAAAGACATAGAAGTGTTGATAGAGATTTTATGTATGAGAATAACAATTCAACATTACTTATAATTAACTGTGAACAAGTAGAAACAAATTTAATAACCAACATACAGAAATGTTTCAATAAGTGATCTTACCCCAACCAAATTATAAATTTTAATATTAGGTAATGAAAATGAAAAATGTTTATGATAAATGGTAACTGTGAATTTGCTTTTATATTTAATTAAATTTATTATTATAAAGTTATGCATATTATATGCCCTAATACAATATACAATTTAAATAGTGGCAAAAATAAAATCTGTTTCTCTTCGGTTCTCTTTTCACATATAAATTAGCAATGTTACCTGATTTTGAACAGACAAAATGCTTGAAACAAAATCTCTCACTATGTCCATTAAAGCTTTCAAGCAGGCCATGTTTAATTTGGCAGCCTCCCCAAGGACCAGTAAAGCCAGTACTGAATCCAACCTGAAAATTTTATGGACGAAAGGATAAAGATTGTAATGGAAAATAATAATAATCAACTTTTTAATGTAAAAAAAGGTAATAGGTCAGAGGAAATGCATGTCTGGATTACAAGATATATTTATTTTCAATAAAGATTAGTATTGGTTCTCACTTATTATGGTAAAAATCTTCAAAGAAGAGACACATTTTGGTAATATGTTTGAGTTCAGAGTAGTGGTCTGACAAATCTGAGTAAAAAGTACTACATATAATCACATTTCTTCATAGATCCTGAACAACAGGCAATCAGGGGCTCTGGTTGTAGAGTACCCCCAAAAACTCACAATAGGTTTTAATGTTTAACCTCTTGCAACTGATTCCACAAGGTGAATTTCAAGAGCGTGTTTTCTTCTCAAAACAGAGCAATTTTTAAAAAACCGCCTTCTTCTAAGATACTCCAAAGATTCAACACTCTTTGATTTTGGAAAAAGTACAATTTCTCAAAATAAAATTTATATTTCACATGAATAGAAGACTATTATTTTTTAAATATTAAAAAACTGGGAAATCACACAAGAATTTATTAGTTATAAATGTACGTATATTTTGAATGTTTTGAAAATTATATATTTGTGATATTTTTACTTAAACAAAAAATAGTTTGAAAAAGAACTGATAAGAGCTCAAATTAAAAATTACTTTGGTCTATAGCTGTTTACTGTCTTGATTTGTAGGCCATTAATAAATTTAAAAGTTAGTATATTTTACAAGATTATTTGAATTTCACAACTGTGATATTTCAGGCCCATAAGTTCAAGGTCATCATCATTTTCTAAATCAAACCATTCTTATTATGAAAATCAAAGACAATTCTTTATATTAATTAGGGCTTTACAGATATCAATGTGCTTTCACATAAATTATTTCATTTGATTCGAAAAACAATTTTTGACACATTTAAGATTTCTCTAGACCTTTTTTCATACTAGACAACTGAGACATAAATAGGTCCGAAGGACTTGTCCAAGTTCCCTTTTTAAACTAGATTAGTTGTAACTCAAGTTTTCTCCCACCAAGAAGTATTTTCTGTCTTGCAATTCTGCTTTTCTAAACCATTACATAAACGTCAATATTTAATCTTAGTGTGGCAGGTGCTGCCTATTGCCCTCCCTAATACTAGTTGTCTCCTTTTCTAATGGAACATGCATTTTGTTCAAAATGGCAATATGCTCAATTAAGTTAGCCCCCTCAAGATGGAATTCTCTGTATCTTGATTGGAGTAGTGATTACATGAGTGTATACATTTCCCCAGGGTCATAGACCTATGTACATAAATGTATGACGTTCATGGTATCTAATTTATATTTCAGTAAGTTTGATTTAAAATTGACTGCCTAGACTCCCTTGAAGCTTGGAATAGCCATACAGTGTAGATTTGGTTAATCAGCTAGAAAACGAAGCATATTATGAAGACTTCCAGGCAAGCTATTATTTTTCTGGTTAAGAAAAAAATTTTTTAATTAAATAACAGGTGTTATTTTTCTCCTTTGCTCATCCTCTTCTTCCTGCTTGTAGTGCATATATTCCATGATATCATAAGGCACAGCAGCCTTCTTTCAACAAGGAGGATAAAAATCACCTGCTATAAAGACAGAAAAGGAAGCTAGAAGAAGCTTGGGTCTTGAAGATTTCCTTAAGTACTCACATCAGCACTGCACTACTTGTCATGTGCAATAAAGAAAGCTCTGTTTGGTTATGCAATTGTAGTCAGGTTTCTGCCAAATAAAGAAGACGAAATCCTAATTGATGCACTTAACATGATGCTTATGAACATGAACTTTAGAGTCAGAAACATCAAGATGAAATCTTAGCTCTGCCACTAATTAGGCATATGTTATAGGGCAACTTATGTATCCTACCTCATCTTAATTTACTTGTCTATAAAGAAAATACAGTAAAACTCACTTTTTAGAGATTATTTTGAGATTTGAATGAAATACTCCATGTAAAACGTCAAGATTCAGAATGCTAAATTGAATTCAATTACAAACATACTATTTCTTTGACATAAAAAAGATATGAGTTTGATAACTTTCTCATTAAAGTCATAGAGTGACTGGAAGGAGAAGTCCATCCAGATGACCACCAAGAGGGAAACTAAGTCATTCCCCAGACTACTTATCATTTATACTTCATATTATGGTCAATTAAAAGAGAGGATACTCATAGAGTTCATAAAACTTCTTTTCCCTTGAATATACTTCATAATCAGAAGGTTTTGATTCTTCTTTTCTCTTTTAAGTCTGGAAAATTGTAGCTAACCTAGGATTGAACTATGGATTGAAAAAGATCCATCAGTGTTAGCCACCTATGGTAGAGAAATGCTTCACCAGAAACACACTATTTTCAATTAATGCTGCTGATCACAAAATTGTCTGTGAATGAAAATGCTTTCATCAAAAACAAACATCAATACTTATAAAGTACAGTTTGTCAAAAACAAAAGTAAAATTGAAAATCGATGTACATAGAATGGAATTCAAATTGGATTAGGCTAGAAATTTCCATACAGCACTAGCTTCTTTGTGAATTCATTATAATACAGAAAGTCTCAAGTATCAGCATATTGACCTGGTTTTACATTGCCGTGAAATTAAAGTTGTACAAAATAATATGCAACTATTATAGATTTGCTCTAATTTTGTAAATAAAGAAACTGAGCCAGAGTTTTACTGGCTTGTCTAAAATAATGATATATACATACACACATGCACACATTTATAGAAGTTAGAAACATCAGCATTTAAAAGTTTTCCTAGATTCTTCTTACTCCTCTATATCCATTTCCTCAATTAGAAGATTTTAACGTTTAAATGGAATTAAAATATCTAAGTAGCAACCCTTGCCAACTTATTTCAACATTGCAACAGATATTCCAGAAAGCACTGACAATGTCAAAAATCCACATGATCCCGAAAACAGAATGAGACATCACTAATAATAGCAACTTACAAGGAATTTCCATAAACCATAAAGCTTATGAAGCCAAAGCAATAAGGAGCAACCACATGCCACTTCTTGAAACACAGCAACCTTGTTTTCCCAAAAAAAGTAAGAGAAAAAAACATTTAAAAAAAATAATAATCTCTACTGTTTACCCTGTTTTGCATAGAATCAGAGAAAGTGCAGCCAATCCTTTATCTTGAGATACTGATTTTTTTTTTAAGTAGTGAGAGTATTATTCCTGGGTTCATTCTCATCTCTCCATATTTATTCAGAGATGATAACATCCTGGTAATGAAAAGGGTAGTATACAGTGCCTATACACATGTAGGATGGGAGAAGGCAGGAGGGAGGACGATAAAATTGGAATACAGAAGTGCATTTTTTCCTCACAGGTAAACTATCAAAGAGTAAGGAGAACACAGGAAGCTCCCTGATCATTTTACACATTGAGTGTTGTAATTTTTACCAACTTTGTTATGAATGCTGTGAATACAGACCTCTTATTTAAAAATATTGTTTTTATATATTTCTCCTGGTTCTAGAATAAGTAACTGGAAAGTGAAGAAGAGGGACCTATACAAGACCGAGGAAAATAGATTACAGCAAAGGCTAAAGAGAATATTAGTCTCAGTACTCAGAGAGGGTCATAATTCTGAAAATGATTTCTTACAGGAACTAGAAGTTATTTTTACAAGACATGTAGGCATCTTTAATAAAGCCCAGGAATAATAAACCACAATAAAAAGCCTTGATGCTTAGATGAAAGGTAGTAGAGTAAGATAAGAGATTGCAAAGAATTTAAAATGTAAAAATATAATTAAAATCTATAGTTGAGGAAGTTAACTACAGAAATAACAGAGAAAAGTATTTCATAATTTAGAGGAAAATGTGGAAAGCATACCTATTACTATCTAAGTGCAGAAGGAAGGAAGGAAGGAAAGAAGGAAGGAAGGAAGGAAGGAAGGAAGGAGGGAGGGAGGGAAGGAAGGAAGGGAGGGAGGGAGGGAGGAAGGGAGGAAAGAAGGGGAGGGAGGGAGGGAGGGAGGTAGGAAGGTGAGTGAGTGAAGGGAGGGAGAAAAATTTTAAGTTATGAAGTAAATGGGGCCCAACTACAGAAAAATATTTCTAATAACAAAAAGTCCAAAATTTAATGCAGTTATCCATGAGAAATATATGGGTTTTCCCACCATAATGTAAAAAATAAAATAAAAATAAATAAATAAATAAACCCTAAGCATCAGATAGGCAGAAGTTGGGAACACATATGAACTATAAGTAGTCAATACAACACCTTGAAAAAATGTAGACCAGCAGCCATAGTATTTGTGCACAGCTTCTCAAAGTGACGTTTCTCTCTAGGTAAAGCACAGGATTTGCCTCAATAGGCTCCTAACTTGGACAAGAAAGGGTGCCAGTTAACTCCTGCTTACTAAATCACAAAGAGGTTCCTAAAAAATTCTGGACTGAAAATTAAACAGATTAAAAAAAAGAGGACTGATGACTTTGAATATCTCATCATAACTGTGTTAGGAAACAGCATAGCAACATTTAGAGATTTGAAGGAGGAATCAAACAAAAAATAAACACTGTAATCATAGAAGTCTATTACCAGACAAAATGTACATCATACTTTTTAGGGAAAAAATAAATGGTGATAAATGTTATAGCTAGTCAAGGTTTGTATATAATCATGGCCTTACCTAATATAATAAGCAATCAAAAAACATGTTTAGAAATTTATTCAAGCTAAGAAAGAAATGAACAGTATTGAACAGTTTAAGAAAGGAAAATCCTAGTGTTAAATGGCTGCAGGTGAGTAGAAGAAAAATAGGTAAGTTTTAATAAAGAAAAATAATTTTATAAATATGACCAAATAATTAAATGCAGATATATAAATCATTCTTTAAGGAGCAGACAGAACATTAAAAATAATTAGTTAACTATAATGTTATCAGAACTCAAGATTATATTAACAGACTAGGAAGGGGAGAATTCGTGTAAATAAATTTGTCTTG